TAGACTTTAACACGTACCAGATTAAAGAAGTAGATGGAAAGGTTTATTCGTCCTGGGTACACACTGACAGACTCCATCCTGTAAAATATGACGGCTCCCCAATCGACAAGGCATGGTATATTCTGCGTATAGCAAGAGCAAAAGAAAAATAATAATTTTTTTTTCCTACCTTGAGCTCTTTTTGGAAAGGGGGTATTGTCGTGACTTAGGTCACACAAATACGTTGATATTTAAAATAGACTTTTATCTCAATCATAATAAAATCATCTTTGATCCTTTATATAATACTTTTATATATTTGGCTGTTACATACAAAAAGTCCCACGACAATCTGAATGTTTTGTACTCCGACACCTGTGTCGAGGAACTATTGTTATGTAACGACCGAATATATCAAAAGGTGCTCTCAAGGTAAAATTCGAAAAGCCGGTGGACCCCTTTTTTGGGTGTGAACGGATTTTTTTAAATTGAACAAAAAAATAATTTCATCGATCAGGTGATGCCGTGACGGTTCTTCACTTTCAAATTTACTAAAAGACCTAACGTGATTTTATTAATAAAAAAACGGAATATTCCTTTTCGCTTATCTTTATTTTTTTTTTAAAGTACCTATTTACCATGAACCCAATTGACGAAACTTTTTTCGATATAATGCAAGAGCAACTTTGGATGGGAAATGGTGCTGACCGTTTTGAAGACGAAGATCAATACTTCGATGCCGTGATGGAAGAAATCATTAGAATTGACGAAGAGTTCGATTTAGAAGAGGAAATGCTTGAACAAGAGGTTGTCATTGCCGAAGAGAACATTATTGCCGACTATGCTCGTCTTGAAGGCAACTATGACGTTTATTCCTTGTTCCAACTTTGGGTTAGAGAAACAATTTTGCATGCAACCACTTTAATCAACTATGACATCTTTTATTACATCTTCATAAGCAACCCTGGGATGATGACCCGAGAATCGCACAGAAGGGTTGTTAGAACCGAGCGTATGGACACGTACGAAACATACTGGACGATAAAACATCCCAACTTGAACGACGATCGTAACAGCCGCCATAGCTATAGAGCTCATTATCGAGTCAACAAGTCGACCTTCGAGTGGCTCGTCAATCGTTTGAGTAGATGTGCTGCTTATCTTGGGTCAATTCTGCGAGGTGGTTACTCTGTAGAAGTGCAAGTTGCGTGTGTGCTTTGGAGATTTGCTAACACGCATTTTGGTTATCGAATTGCCGAAACTCATCTTGGAGTAGCTGCCGGATCATTCAATAATTTCACTAACCGATTTATTGATGCCATGTTGGAGATTACTCCCGAACTTATAACATGGCCCATCGAAGATAGACAGAGAGCTTTGAACAATGCTCGTGAGTTTGCAGTACTTGGTGAACCTGGTGCCACGAGACTTTCTGGTGTACTCGGTGCAATTGATGGCAAGCTGGTTGTGATCCAAAAACCAGCAATAAATGGAAACGCTTATGTCGATAGAAAGAGTCATGCACCCATGAATTTGATGGCAATTTGTGATGCCCGTACTCGGTTTATGTACGTAAAAACTGGGCATTCCGGTAAGTTCATGTGGAAGGATAAAAAAATGATACAGCAGCTTACCGTTTGTTATTATATTAAGGCAGAAATCATGATGCCAGAGTATTCACAAGCAGCGTGATTTATCACAAAATTTTGTTGGATGCGGCCAGATGGTGTCCTGCAAACACTTATATTTTGGGAGGTAGTTCATTAATTATTTTAAGGTATACAAAGCATTAACGATGAGACCTAGATTCGGCTTACCCTTTGCTGCCTAATCTCATTGTTCCATTCCATGGCCGACGTGAAAGCACTGCGGAAGAAAAAATTTTCAATGCAACCTTTTCTAGTTCTCGAATTAAAATTGAACATGCATTTGGTGGGCTCACGTCCAGGTGGAGATTCCTTTGGAAGCACTTGTATATGCTCAGCGTTGATAGAATGGCTAAAACCATCATATCTTTCCTTGGTTTGCACAACGTTTGTGTAAACCAAAATGATATCGAAGAGGCAATTTTGGATGGAAACTTGGATTTTGAGGGATTTGTTGAGGCAGACCGTAGAAACCAATTTGAAAATGAAGTGAACTTCGAACCTCCGCTTCCTTTCCTCGGTACCGATGCTACCATTGATGCTGCAGGTATGCGCCGTATTAAGGCAATGTCTATCTTAAGAAGAAACAACATCATGAGGGGAACCGATAGACTTGCTTAGTTTTCAAAAGGTTTTATTATATTAAATATATTTTTTATTTAATTATTGTTGTCAGTAGAAGATGAACCAAGATTGGTATCACTATCGCCTCTTCGAATTGCTGCAAATCTATTCATAATAGTCTCCATATCAGAGATACGTTTACGTCTATCCTCTTCCAAATCGGCCTCTCGTCTACTTCTTGATTCTTCTAGCAGTCGATATCTCTCTCTGGACTCTTGTCGTCTTCTTGTTTGCACATCTTCCAATACAGTCTGTCGATTACGACTGACCCTTTGCAACATACTGTCAAGGTCACGAATTCTTTGCTCCCTTTCTTCCCGTTGTACCGCTGCCATTCGATACATCATCTCTACACCGAGTTGGCGGGCATGTGCCATATGCTCCTCTGACAACTGACGACCAGCCTCGATGGGATCAAAAGTTGACGGAGACTGCTCACCAGAAGTTCGATTATTTCTCGAAGTGCGGGTTGATCTTGGTGGAGGTGGTGCAGATGTAGGTGGAGGTGGAGGTGGTGCGGATGTAGGTGGAGGTGAAAGTGGTGCGGATGTAGGTGGAGGTGGAGGTGGTGCGGATGTTTGTTGAGGTGGAGGTGGTGCGGATGTTTGTTGAGGTGGAGGTGCGGATGTTTGATGAGGTGGAGGTGATGCGGATGAATATGGAGGTGGAGGTGGTGCGGATGTATATCGAGGTGGGGGTGTTGCGCCTGTCGATGCTGGTGGTACTGCGGGTGCTGATGTTGGTGTTGGTGTTGGTAGTTTGGTTGCTGGTGTTGAGGTTGGTGGTGGTGCGGATGAGGGTGTTGATGGTGGTGCAGGTGCAGGTGCTGTTGATGATGATGGTACTGAAGATCCTTCAGTGGGGTATCGATCGGCCAAAGCTTTTTGGATCACAAGTTGATCGACTTCCGTAGGTGTCAAGTACGTAGTTTCGGGACCATCGGATCCAATGGCATCCATTAAATCAACGTCGTTTGATCTTCTATATGATCGAATGCCATTCTCCTCCATGTTGACGCTTTCGTAAATTACCTCAGGTTGGATGCTAGGATTATCCTGAGTGATCTTGGCAATTTCTTCATAGTATGGTATGTCTGGGACAGTTCCACCAACTCCTGTTTCTCTTGCTGCATTTCTGGCTCTGGTGAATCTGGCTTTCATGTCTTTCCACTTGCGTTGCATACTGAGATGCGTGACATTTGCTATAAAAGCCCTGACTGCATCGGTGTTTGCATATTCAGCCATCTTTTCTTTCAAGAGAGCTGCCGAATGAACCCAGATAAACTGTTTCAAGGCAGTATCTCCTCTTCTCAACAAGTAATTGTAGGTGCCTGCCATGATCTCAAGAAGGATACAAATTGCAACCTCAGGCCATACGTTGTATGGACGTGAAGGCCCATTGTCATCTTCGACATTAGCGTTGTTGTTCTCAGCTTGGGCATTGCTGTTGTTGACAGGAGTGGTGTTGTGCTGAACAGTAGGTTCAACAAACACAAAGGTGCCAGCGTGTCTGCCACGTCCGCGTCTACCTCCACGTCCATTTCCACGACCACGTCCGCGACCACGTACGTTGTTGGGTGTGTTGTTATTTGCTTCAGTGTTGTTCATAGTAAGGTAAGTGATAAAAAGTAGTAATAAAGTAAAAGGGAGGAAAAAAATAAAAATAAAAAAAATGTTGATTTAAAAACTTTTGTTATTTTATCATTTCCTTTTCAAGCGAATAATTTTGAATGTACCTTGACTTTGATCAGATTTTTATTTCCACCCATATATGTATGTGTGTTATTTTGCCCATTTTTAGATCGCTTTTTCAAGCACTTCTTTTACTATTTTTGTAGAAAAACTGGGCAATTTATTTTCGGTTTCCGATCTTGAGAGCACCTATAGTGTACACGACAACTCAAAGAGCAGCTTTGGAGGAACGACTAACTGCGATAGTTAAGAAACAGATCAACATATACTCTCCAAGACAATTATCATTGAGAGGGCGAGCAACTATAGCAAACACATTGATAATGACAAAGATATGGCACTGTCTACGATTAATGCAACCAACTATAGCCTTTCTACGCCAAATGCAAAGTATCATATATAACTTCGTATGGGAAAAGAAAAGGCCTCTGGTATCCTTCAATCAACTTAGCCTACCAATAACGCAAGGTGGCTTAGGACTAATTTCTCCGGTCAAGCAACATATGGTACTCCAAATTCGACACCCTCGATATATCTTTCAATTAAACAACACACAAAGAATAGTGGAACATTTCTTCCGATATCACTTAAATTAGATAAGACCAACGATAGCATCGCCGGAAATAACCTTTTATGTACCGGAGTGGCGAAATCATGCAATAAATCACCCCACCTCAATAGTGAATGCATGCTACAAGGCATTTGATCAATTCAATATAAAGCTAAACTTCTCAGAATGCTCACTTGATTTACTGCCACAGCTACCTATACAATACCTTTTGCCATCATATCCCAGGGAACACTGGCTACAACGATACAAGAATCGACCAGCGGGAACCTTTTTTATATATGACCAATACATGAAGAGATTGCAAATACGGGTGGACGGAGAATATCCAGTGAAACCAAAGTTATGTCGCAAACTGAAGAAAGATATATTAGACTTTCGAACCGTAAAACTACAACAATTTATTTACCAATATATAGTAAGGGACACGACAATAGATACAAATCAGCAAAATAGTACATGTCTCAATAAGGCATTAACGGAAACAGCATTATGGAAGACATTTTTACCAGTAACATACAGATCTATTCAAGAAACACTGACACCAATAATAAGCGGTACCTGTATCAAAAAGGATTTAAAAGATTCTGGAGCTTACCAATACCACCACCGGCTAGAAATTTGTGGTATAGAATACTATCAAGGAAATCACCAACATCAAAATACCTAAATCAGATTGGAACAATTGACAGTCCAAGATGTCACCTATGTCACAACTATGTCGACAATCTAGAACACTTCATAGTTCAATGTACAATCAAATCAACAGTATGGAACAGAGTACTTACCAGTCACTATCCTACATACAATGTAACCAACAGTAATATATTGAAAGCACTATATAATATGGAAACTCCATTCGGTACACAATCTAGTCGAAACATCCCTTTCCTGGTGATTATTTCCACAACAAATTATTATATATGGTACTTTTACTGGCAATTCATCATCCATAACATACCATTTGTAGCTGAAGCTATCATCAACAGAAGCAACAGACAAATATCCATCATACTGAATTGAAATTAGATCAACGAATAAGATAAAATATTAATCTTAACGCAAGCTAAATTAATCCACGTCCCCAAATTTCTTATCCCCCCAAGCTCATCAAGTCCCACCTCTACGTGTATGTGTGACTATTGTTACAATGCGGATTTCCAACAGCTATTTTTTTGACTTCAAACCTAAAATTTATACTCAACCAAATTTATTTTCTATGAAGCTAACTTTTAGCATTGTGTTGCAACAGCTTATAACCTTTTCCTTTTCTATTTTAAATTCATTAGTGATTATATCCTTAGTCATCTATTATCCGTTTGTTCAAGGGTATCGATACCGATCCTTGCGACAACATACAACTATATAAACCCATAAAAACATTATACTTAAATAAACTATTCAGCTTTTTATCTATATTTATCTTATAAACTCTTACCAGATCTTGCCTGTTGTTACTGGCAAGTTTCAGTAAAAGTAATACACGAAAATAAAAATAGAGGTTTAAGATAAAAGTTCTTAAAAAGTGAGCACCAGACTATATAGTTGTCAACTGAAAAAGATAAAATATATTTATATAATAGGGTAATTTATACGACGAAATCAGATAAAAGTGGTATTCGAAGGGGTATAGTTAAATACGTAATGGAATAGCTACAATGCTGATTTTACAGAAGGAAATTACAAGCAATTATAATAAATACAAAATCACAAAGACTTAAAGTATTAAGACTTATTCAGATTAAGGTAAAGAACAAACTAATGATTTTATTAAATAATTTTATGGTCCTTTTATAAGAAAAGGACCAAAAAGCAGTCAAAAAAATTAAAAAAACTTAGGTCAGAACGACAAAAAGTGCCGTGTAACATATCCTCCGGGAAGGAATAAGGTAATCCTTACCGTTTTTCAAAGGAAGACAGGCAAAGTAAGAAGAGGGGAAAAGAAAAAGGAAAAGAAAAAAAAAGGGGAAAAGGAAAAAGGAAAAGGAAAAGAATAAAAGTCTAAATTTTTTTTTTTTTTTTAACATTCTGGCCAATCATCCATTACATTAAGAAGATTGTGAAATTGACGGTTTTTATAGAGTTTGGCGCCTAATTCAGACTTCAGATATGCATTTCGTTTGTTAACATAGGCCCGAGCAGATTGGCGGTAGTTTTTGAATTGTGTATGAATTATGGGAAGCAAGGAGGAGATTAATTTCTTGAAATCATTTGTTAGAGAGCGTTCGATTTGGTCCAGGATATTATACTTGTTGGTGATCTCGAAGAACAAGTGGTTCTTGCTTTCTTCGTATTCCTTTTTGATCAAGATAGTACAAGGGTCTAGGATGGGCACGTCTGGCAGATCGAAGTTTTCGGTTAGGAAGTCGAAATTTAGTAGTTCGTCCAGGGTGGAATTGGGTAGAGGTTTCTTGGTAGTGGGATTCAGTTGAATCAGATCCGGGTGGTCTTGGTCTTCCTCGCCGGTGATTTCTTGGTATATATTCTCGCGGTTCCGAGTGATTAGGATAGACTTGGCTAGTTCTTCCTTGGTTTTCCTCGACATGAGTCCTGGGACTGGAGCGTTGGGGGGAGAGGTCTTCTTGGATACTCGTGTCATTGATAGTAGAAAGATTAGAGAATTTATTTACTTCAACATTTGGCACCTTATATATACGTAATTTATTTCCGTGGGCCAGTCTTTCAATACCCGTAGATTGGTTTTTAATTTTATAAGTACCCTTGATGGCGGCTTGAGATACTACAAAAGGGCCTTCCCATTGATCTTCCAGTTTACCCGACCACGAAGTTTCCAAGTACGATCGGTATAGCTCAACATAATCACCTAATTGAAATGCCGGTTTCAAGAGTTTTCCAGTCTTTAGAATTTTTTGATCAATAGCCTTTTGTTGAGATTTCTGACTTTCAAAGATAATAGCAGCAGCTTCTACGCGGATTTCTTGTAACTTGGAAATTTGCCAATCAATAGATTGTAATAATTGTTTATCTTCAATATCTTGTTGAGAGGGGGGGTTGAGTTCGCCGTTTGAGACTTCAGTGATAGTGAGATTATTCATTTCTTGTATCATGGTTCGATCAAAAGGTGAAAAGGCTTCACGTCCATACGTTAATGAGAATGGAGTACGTTTCGTGGTGTGATGGCGCATTGTTCGATAAGCGTATAGAGCTGCAGGTAGGTAAATATGCCAATCGAGCTTCTCAACATCAGGACGGCGGCGTAGTACTTGACCCAATGTTCGATTTAATCTTTCGATGAGACCATTTCCTTCAGGGTGGTACGGACTAGTAGTTTTGTGAATGATACCAAACGTTTTGCATACGGTTTCGACAAGGCCACTGACAAACGGGGATCCATTATCTGAGATTAGATATTGAGGAGTACCATGGGTGACAATAATATTGTTGTAAATGAACAAAGCTACCTCGCTAGCATTTTGAACTCTAAGGGGCTTGGCTTCGACCCACTTAGTTAAGTAACAAATGGCGGCTATAATGTATCGGTGACCTCCTCAAGAGGTTTTGACATGCTTCACATCTATTCCCATACGTTGAAATGGTTCGGATCCCACAGGTATCGGGTTCAACTGTTCTCGGAGTTCAGGCTTTCCAATTCTTTGACAGCGATCACATCGTGACACAAAATCTTTAATTTGCAGAGCCATGGCGGGCCAATAATAACGTGAGGCTATCTTTTGTAAGGTGGTGTTAAAAGCGAAATGACCTCCCAGGGGATGAGAATGATTAGCCCACATAGCAGCATGTTGTTGTTCTTCTTTGAGAAGTACCAATCGGGGTTGATTATTGTTGATAGGAGAACCTTGGCGATATAAGAGATTTTCGCGAATTAGATAGTGTTTGCTTTGTGTACGGATAAAATTGATTAAGTCCTTAGAGATATCCTTCGGGTACTCCAGGGTAGTTAAATATTCTTGTATAGCTTCTAGTTTGTAATTGATGTTGTGATAGTAAAATGGGTGTTGGTTTTATTGTTTTTGGGTTATAATTTATCTGAATGTTTTTGAGGGTTTTTTGACATTTTTGGCACATTGCGTAAAATTTTGAGTGGACTTTAAAATGTGCTTCAATACAGCTTTTTACAACTTCCTACGACTGGTTGGCAATTTCATGAGTTATTTTTAGTAACCCAATCTTGAAAGGAAGTCAGCACTTTGGTTAATACGACCGGGACGATACTTGACGGTGAACTGGTATTCTCCAAGAAAATTAATCCAGCGAGCTAGAATTCCAGTGGGGTTCTTCGTATTAAGCAATCCTTTGATAGCACTGTGGTCCGTGATTATAGTAAAATGGCGGCCTAATAGGTACGGGTGACACATTTTTATTCCCCAGATACAGGCAAGACATTCCAATTTGGAAATTCCATAATTAGCTTCAGCATTTTTGACACCTCTACTCAGATACGATACCGGGTGTTCTCGACCCTCTTCATCTAATTGAGTTAGGACACAGCCGAGACCTTGCTTGGAAGCACCAGTGATGAGCAGGAAAGGTTTTTCAAAATCAGGACGCGTTAAGATGGGAGCTGAGATCAAGGCTTCTTTCAGTGTTTCGAATGCTTTAGTTGTTTCATCATTCCAAGGGATCTTATTGTCTTTCTTGGTTTGCTCATGTAAAGGTCGTACAATAGCAGCAAAATTCTTGAAAAAACGACGATAGTAAGAGGCAATACCAATGAAACTTCGGATATCGGTGATTGATTTTGGGATGGGATAGTTCTTGATTTTCTCAATCTTCATGGGATCCGTTTGTAACCCTTCAGCTGTTACAATGTACCCGAGAAATTTGAGGGAGCTCTTGAAAAAGTCGCATTTCGATGGATTGAATGTCAGACCGGCAATACGACAACAATTAAATACTTGTTCTAGATGCTGTAGGTGTTCTTCATTGTTGTGTGAATAAACATTAAGATCATCCACGTAGCAAACTAAGAATTTGTTGATAAGAGGGCGAAAGGCAATGTCTACTAATCGTTGGAAGGTACTAGGACTATTACATAAACCCATTGGTAAGGTTACATATTCGTCATTTCCAAATTTAGTAGTGAAGGCTGTTTTCTCGATACTTTCTTTCTCCATTGGAATTTGGTGAAAGCCAGATGTCATATCTAGTGCCGAGAAAATAGTTGCTTTTTCTAGAGTGTCCAAGAGATCGTCAATTCTTGGTAGGCTGTAAGAGTCTAACTTGGTAATACTGTTCAATTTGCGATAGTCAATAACCAAACGAAATTCATCCATTGTTGAATTGGCTTTCTTCGCTTTCTTGATAAGCATCACAGGCGCAGACCAAGGGCTAAAAGATGGGCGTATAATACCTAGCTTACAGAATTTATTCAATTCTTTTTCTAAATATTCGCTTTCGATAGGACTAAGACGATAAGGACGATGTCGAATTGGAGGAACATCTTCTGTAATTATTCGATGTTCGAGTAGTCTGGTGCGGCCAATTGTATTTTTGTTCCAGTCAAAAATTTCATGATACTTAAGGATTAAAGCATAAAATGATTGTTTCAAGTCGTCAGGGAGATTGCCGACATCAATCTTTGTTTTAATTTCTTCAAGTTTGGCTTCGTCTCCTTCATTCAGAGTGGTTTTGAGGTCTTGAGACTTAGAGTGATTGTTGTGACTTATGGTGTTTAATTCATACGCCACAATGTCATTACTTTCCGAAGTTTAACGTAGTATTTTACCTATGGTAGCTTGAGGTTCAATGGTGATAGGGTCTTCGGTATGATTGATTAGACTAATTTGGAAATGATTTGGGAGATCCTGGAAATGGAACTGATGATCATTATATTGCAGCGTGGATTGTACGAGGTTGGGGTGAATTAGTTCAAAGTCATAAATACATTCAGAACTTGTTTCAATAGGCTTATCAATACAAAAGGTTCGTTGTGATTTAGCCAAAATTTTACAAGGATCTTTTGAATTAGACAGTATGAATTCATCTTCATCAACGGTCAATCTTAACGGGCTCTCAATGTCATCATCTTCCAGCATAAAAAG